ATCCTTTGAGATAAATTCTGATTTTCCAGTCTTGGGGTCAATCACTTCGATGTCATCAGACTCAAGTCCAGCTTCACGCATCAACTGTTCAAACTCCTCTTCGCCCTCCACCGGTCCTGGCTCAACAGTTTTCCTCGGAGCAACCAAGTCTTCAATGGTTTGAGCGTCCATCTTCTTTGGATCTGGTGGGGCATCAAGGCTAAGAGATTCGTATAAACCTTCCCTAATGGCCTTATATCTACCTTTCAAAGGATAAACGAACGGTCCATCAGGTACAGTGAGTTGGTTGACACGCACAACTTGAACTGATTCGTTGAATTCCTTCTCCATAAGGTCCTTCAATGATGCTACAAGAAATTCATTTCTCCAAACGAAACCTGGTTGCATGGCATATCCCAAAAAGATACCTGGATTCGAAGTTGGGTCAAACCGCAAATCTTTCTTGGGTTTAAGTTTCGGACCAGTCCAAAAGTCAATGCGAGCCCCAAAAGGAATGTTGGGTCCCTTGAACTTCTCCCCAAAACGAAGCTCCCACGGAGATAAGATTTCAGGGTGGTCCTGGATGTTGTGTGCCATACACCAGTGTCGTGCAGCATAACTCCAATAAGAATGGTGAAGCCCTGCCTGTTCAAGGTTTACTCTAGTCCCTTCAAGTACGGACCTGAGATTCCTCTCGGCGACTGCGTTCGACTTAGAGACATAAGCAACACTGGTGTTCTGTCTCCACCCAACCTCCCGACAAGCGAGCTTGATGGATGGCGCTGCATCGGAATAAAACACTCCGACTTCTTCACCAGGTGCAATGAAATGCCTAAAAGCTAAAACACAATCTTTGGCATGACTTCTAGCTGAAGGATAAATCCAACGAAAATTCGTAGCGACATCTTTCATGATCATAGCAACCCTGTCACCATCAATTGATTGTTCGTTGGCATCCCTAGTCACAAGATGATCCCCAGTGATGTGATCCCCAAACTTGTTGGATTCCACAGTCAGAGATTCCCCTTTGCTACGTTTAGTAGGTTTGTACATCTTTGCACATTTGCATGTTTCACAAAAAGGATTCTTTGGGGTATGTGTCATCATGTGCCTAAGGGTCCTGGCCTCTTCTCGAAGTGCAGCTTCACCGCGATCGATTGGTTGAGGTTCAGGTAGTTGAAGTCGACCGTCAACTGGTTCTTCAGGAGCTTCGGCTTCATCTTCCGAACCCACATCACCTTCAGGCGTCATTGCTGCTGGAGGTCCTGGCGCAAGTTCACCAGGGAAGAACTCCTCGAGACTATCGTCACCACGTCCAGGGATTTCATCGTCATCTGCGATGGAAGCCTCATAAGGTTCTTCGACCTCTTCGACTTTGTCCTCGGACTCAGTGCCGACAGCTGACATGCGAGACCTTCGAACAGGTGAGATGATGGGCTTGCCGTTCCCGGCAGCGGAGTTCCATGAAAACGGAACCCCTACTGCAGCGGGTACCTGGCCATCTCTGGATGGTAGATAAGGAACAAAATCTTTGACTTCAAGTTTGATCTTGGTTCCATCTTTCTTCTTGAAATATGGGCGACTAAAGCTTTTCCAAACAAAATCCCATCCATCTTGAATACATCTCATCCCTACCGATATTACAGCCGGGGTATCAGGAAGAACATATGGATGAACTTCTTTGTCGATGCAATCAATGTGAACAGAAGCTTGTTGATCAGCTGATTGGGAACCATTTGCAGTGATTAATTCAAGGGGTTCATGAGAGTGATACACGATGTCATCGGGAATCATCTTGCTGCAAACTAAGTCCTGTGCACTACCAGTGTCAGCGATCCATGCTATCTCAGCGGATGCGTTACGCTGCTGGGACGGCATGTGTCCTGGCAGGGCATTCAGGTCGGAACGGATGCAGTGGCGACAGCCGATATCACTGTCACATTCAAAGCTGCATTTGCAAAGCTTACCATGCAACTCCCGAAAGACAGCTGATTGCAACATTTGTGCTGCAAGTATTGCATCACTTTCTCGTGCTTCGATCGTATCTTTGCGAGTACGATCGTCCTTGGTGATGCGAACTGGATTGAAAGTTCGTTGCTTGGCTTGGCACGGATATAAATTACAGTTTTGCTCAATGGGAACTTCGAAGATTTCATCGTTGCCCCCAAATGAAACAGTGCGATTGGGTGTAACTGGCATGGCAAAATGCTGGTTGAAACAATGCGGAGAGGCGATGCCTTCCGGCACGCGATGAGTGCTGGTCGAAGGGTTGACGACTGCGACCATCATCAGAGCGCGCATCAGGCAAACTGCAGCTGAGCCAGAGGAAGATGGTTTTCCCCCTTTGTCCTTGAGACTCTGTGAGCCTCTCGAGGAGTTGGAACCTCGACTTGACGATCTGGAGCGATCGCCCTTCTTCTTCTTATTCCTCTTCTTCTTTTTCTGGCTCTTTCCACGCTTGTCATCTTTGGTAGATGCAGCTGCAGGCTTCGGTGGGTGTTGGAAAGCACAGTCATTACCTCGTTGACACTTACCTGCCTTCCAAAACTTACACACTTGGTTCCTAGATCCAGGAGACAAAGATCGACCATCGCCCCTAGACTTGGACCTAGATTTGCCTTTCTTACCTCCGCCTTTTCCTTTGTCTGCCTTTTCACGTCGGTATCGGCAATCCTTTCCCCTGGTACATTTGCCAGCCTGAAAGTCATAGCAAATGCCAGTGGGCTTCCCCGTGGATGTCGGCCTCGTGGGTGCTGGCGTTGCATCTCTTTTGCCTGAAACGGACTTCTTGGTAGCCTGTCTCATCTTCTCCAGACGTCTTCTCTCAAGGTAGTCCCTCGCAGCTTTCATGAGAAAGTCATAAGAGCGGTTGGGTTCCCCCTCCGGTGTACGATCATACACAGCCAGATCATGAGAGAGAGGCTTGAAGTTCTTGATGGCGTTGTGGAAGTAGGCTTGCTTCCACATCATGTCAGGCTCGGAAGTCATTCCAGCGATCACAGCGTCCCATCGAGTGATGAAACCTCTGAGATCATCATTGACTAAGGTAACAGCCATGAGGTCCTCAATGTCATACACTGCACCATGCTTCCTACTTGTACTGAAGTGTTTATGAATCATGAGCAATGCTTGACGTCCCCTAGCTGGTGTCCCTGACTTGGCTTGTTCTTCTTTAAAGATATCAAGTTGCCGTGCAAAGTCCCCTTCGCAGATGTTGGTGAGTGAAGACATGAGCTTTGCGTCCAGGGTCACGAATTTACCTGAGTCCTTCAAAGCATCGGCAGACTGGTCTGTCCTGAACACTTCCTCCACCCACTGAAAGGCTAGGTCGGGTTTAGCAGAAGCAGCAATTATGGCATCCCTTACTCGGATTCTCCAATTCCTATAATTTTCGGGTTGAGGGAACTTAGGAACAAGGATCCTATCAGACTCTTTGGCCTTAGTATCACTAGTCCTAGAACGCTCCAAGGCCCTTTTGACCTTTCGGGTAAAGGAACTCTCAGAATCCGAACTTGATGACGTAGGGGATGTTGATGATGAAGGTGAGGATGAAGGATCTCTTCGACGTCGTCGTCGCGAGCGGCCACGACTAGTCTTGCGGTCCTTCTTCTTGTCTTTCTTGTCTCTGCGACCTCTCTTGTCGTCAGATTCATCATCACCATCGTCATCTCCTGGAGGTCCACCGCCGGGTAATCCCGGTGGCTTCAAAGGTTCTGCCTGAAAATGCTCGTCGTCAGCATCTGATGAATGCTGAGGCTTCTTGCTTCCCGAAGCTAACTCTACAATGGTTGGACCCTTGGGCTTCGAGGATTGTGGAATGGGTTTCCCTGAACCATAGTGAATCATAAGTCCAGGAGTTCCCTCCAGAGGTTGAGACTTTAAATTCCGGATGAGCTCTCTCTGCTCCTTCCGAAGCTTCTCAATCTCCGCCTCGAAGTCCTTCTTCTGAGATTCGGCCAGCTTATGCATGTTCAAAGCGTGTTGATTCATTGCATCAATCTGAGTGCGGTACTCGGCAAGTTCTGAACGTGCTGCCTGCAGATCAACATTGGACTTCTCCGCAGACGATGTCAAAACACCTGCATTGTTGACCACGTGAGTCAATTCGGCACTCAGTTCCCTGATGCGATGATCCTGCGCTGTGACCTGCAGTTGAGCAGATTTATGCTCACTCATCGCCTGGGCGGCCTGCTCGTTCAACAAAAGGTTTCTCCTGGAAATTTCTTCGGCTGCTTGTTGTTCGACGCTTGCGAGTTGATCTCGAGCTTCACTCACAAGCTCCATACGTTGACGCTCCATGACCTCAGAGTGACGTACATTCGCCTCACTCTGCAATGCCTGCTGTTGAGCAGCCATGAGCTGGTTCGCCAGGTTTGGATCAATGCCTTGTTGTACCACTGCCACGTGGGCGGTACGCTGATCAACACTGTTAAAGTTGATGGTGTTGAGTTGGCTGATGTCAATGTTTGAATCCAAAACACCTGGCATGTTCCTGCGTGGATCTTGACGGCATGGGTCAAACTCTTCATCCAGGTAACTCATGTCACCTTCAGTTGTTGCCGCGCCTGAATGGATTACCACTTCCTCCGGTTGTGTAGTTGTCGCCAAAGCCAATGCAGCCGAGGCGTTCCCGCCCTGGGCAGGAAGCGCAGGGGGAGTGGACATTGCGAAAACTACGGAGAAAGAACGACAAGTGTGAAACAAAGGAAACCAGCGATCGCTTGGCGATACGGCTGATAACCTGTAGTTTACGGGTAAAAGCCGGTAAACACCACAAATCAGCTAACACGCAATAACGCTATTTCTTGAGCCATGGCAACACAGTATATGAGGTGATAAAAGGGTAAATGTATGTACAGACTGTGCAACAACAAAAATATATGTATATATATATATATGGATATGTGTGTATAGTCCATCCTTATCCCACTTTTCATATTCATTCCTATGCCCATGTCTACATCCAAAAATCTCCAAATGGTAAATTCTCCCCCTTTGTTTCTCAGTGGGCTGGAAATGGCCTGGAGACCTTCCTGTTCCAGCTTGGACCATCGGGGGCCCCAGGAGTCGTCCTCCGGCTCCTTTTCGGAGCGGGCCCGTCGGCGGTTGACCCTTTTGGGGATCTCAATCCATATAATCCATGCAAACCATGGGGAAATCCATGCAAACCATGGGAAAATCCATGCAAACCATGGGAAAATGACCCAAAGAAAGTAGGTTTCAATCCGAAACCAAGCAGCAACATGTTTTGAAAATGCTCCGGTTCAACTGGAGAATTGGTAAACGAACTTTCGGGGATGGCGCCAGCGACAACAAGGATTTGACCAACAAACATTGCTCCTTCACTTCTCCGAGTTCCTGTACAGGTTCGGGGCCTGTGTCGTGCTTGGCGGTCTCCTGAACGCTGCTTAGGATCTGAAAGCGTGAAACCATCCATTCTTGGTTTGATCATTTCCCGTTTGTTTCATCAAATTTTGGGTTTTGAGGCCCCCAGTATATCCCCCAATGAATATGGCAATGTTAATATATGTTAATATATGTTAATGATGTCAATGGGAAAAGCCAGGTTCAGCAGTGGAAGATTCACCTGTCCCAGGGCCGTGGGTGTCCTGCTTCACCTCCTCGGGGAGCGAGGGCGCACCCCAGGCCGCCTCCAGGGAAGAAGGATCCGGAGTTTTCGGTGGCAGCGCCGGCTCGGGGACACCGGGCACCTTGGAGCTCCGACGTTGGGGGGACGGTGGATCTAGGGGAATATATGGAATATACAATAGTATACCTCTCAATGGGGGAATATAATATGCCTCTTCTGTTGAAGTTTATTTCTGAGATCAAACCATCCATTTTTGGAAATTTTGGAGTTGCCAGTTGTCAATACAGAATTTTAACTTATACCCAATTTTTGACCCTTGCAAACTTCTTCCATAAGTCGGCTCTTTGAGGTGCCCACTTCCCAAGACTCTGAAGCTGCGGCAGCTGGGGCCAGCCTACGAGCGACATGGTGCACATAGTTTGCTCAGCTTCGAAGTGGTGTTTGGTTTAGACTTGGGCTGTCCTATCAATGGAAATTCCAGGATCCTAAATGGAGGTACTGTACCATATAAGGCCATATTTTGTGGGTACCTCCAATTTAGGATCCTGACATGGCCATTGATCCTATGCCGCTGGAAACCCATGGACCCATCTGACCACGATTTTCTCGTACGCCTCAAAGGTGGTTGCATCCATGATGCGGGCGTCGCCCAGTCAGGCGCAGGCGCAGGCCCTGCAAATGAGTCGTCGTTTCCCCGTGGTTTCGGCATGTTTCAGCTACCAGCAAATTGGGATATAACATGACGTGATGACATTGCACATATACCACACAACATGTTGAAAATGAACCATGAACAACTCATAACTTATTAAATGTACAAGTAATGAATATTGAATAAACATGAATAAACATGATAAACACGCTGGCTTTGAATTGCAAAATGGTTGGCAAACCGGCAAACCCATATAAAGCCTTATCCCCACCTTGGCCACCAGCAAAGCTACTCCACATGCGCGGAAGACTCAACAGGGGGCGCGGGCGCGCATGAAGATTTGACTACAGTACACGCGGATGGTGTTGAGTACTGGAGCCATCGGCTGTCTCCAATCTAATTGAGTCTTCCTGGCTCAAAGGTGTAGGATTCCCATTATATCTGGGCTGAAAGCCACGGAAAAATGGCTGGCCCCAACATCAACGCTGTGCTTGTCTCCTTGCTCTGCTGCGAGCTTGAAGGTTGCGGCCGGATCGCTTGGGCATTGGTGTCAAGTGGCGAGGTCCGGCAACTGAAATTGGGAGATAAAACAGCCAAAATTGGGGATTGACCGATTGACCCCTCAAAGAATAGAGAAACCCTGCACTTCAATGATCCCTACCCGTGACTTCAGTGGTTGTTGCCTGGGAATCCCCAAGTCCTGGTGAATCCAGCTATGCTCATGCTGCATGATGCTTCTCTCAGTTCGCTCGCAGATATTTTTCCATCCAGAGGTGCAATGAAAGGGCGTCCATGCAGAATTAGCTATTTTGTTCATGAGTGCGTTTGTTGATACAATCATGCGTTGACCCGGCACAATTCTGAAGACCCCATCACCTGAGCTGCGGTGCTCCAATCAGGCACGTAGCACCCTTTTTTCTCAGCCTGGCTTCTCATCCACGTCGGACATATCGCTCGAGTAGCTCGAACTCGGCGGCAATGGACAGAATTAGGAGATACTTCGGCAGCTACTGACTTCCTCCTTCTTTGCGTACTGGAACCGGGGAACTGAACTGGGGGTATTTGATATGTATTTGTTTGGTTACTTAGGGTTGGTATATAGCAACTGGCATATATTTGTGTCAAGCTAGACCTGGAATGAGAAGTGGGTCTAGTGGAAATTTGAAGCGCCCAGTTGGCACCCGCGCCTGGAATCCACCGGTTGGCCTGGCCCAGGCTACCCAGATGCACAAAAGTTGCTGGTCAACAACTGTAGGGATGGGATGATTCACATGTATTACACTCCTTAATTATCATCATTATCATCCATTATCCCAGTTGTCAGAGTTCTCGTCATCCCCCTATTTCCGTACACAAATAAATTTACCCTCTGGTTGTTTAACATAGCCATGGAAAATGACCCAATTATAAATGGTTTACCTATTAAAGATGGTGATTTTCCATGGCTATGTTAAATAACCATAGGGAAAAAAAAACACCCAACTCGTAACCCCCCCTGCATCCACCCCAGGCCTGGTCTCAAGGGCACGTCCCCACCATACCCACCACATGCCTCGCACCACGCGAAGCACCGAGCCGGGTGACCTCCCTCCACCGAGGCGCCGCCGGCCTTGGAGGCGAAGCGGACTTTCTGGAGGAGGTGCCGCCGGAAGTAGCGATCGCCTCAGGGCTGGCATGCTGGAACTCAGTTGGGAAAATGATCGACAAATGTTGGAATCTGTTGGAACAGTTCCACATCTGTATATTCTGTATGTTGATATTCCCTGGATATCCCCAAATAATGATGAAAAAAGGGAGCATGAAAGAAATCAGAAATCAAATCACAGCAGAATATGATCATTAGAACTACTGGAAACAATCACTCACATGGGTGCTGGAGCTTTCAGCTGCTGACATGATAGATGCAAAGGAGGGTAAACTCTAAACCCTCCTGAATTTGCAAGGAGGGATTCACAAAATGATTGGGCTTCTAAGTATCAAGTGAAATGTCCGGGGGTACCTTTTTGACATCCCCATCTTACAATGTCTCACCCTACTTGCCCAGGCCATGCCCCTGACCCCATCCTAACCACCGACACCTGCACAGAGGTCCACAGCGCGAGCGAAATGTTGCTGCAAAGTTCTGAGGAAGTCATCATCCGACAAGAGCCTGACCATACACGACTAAGTAGCTTCCCGGGGGACGCGCGATGTGAATTCAGTATAATTCAGTTGGTATTATAAGCGCAACACATGCAGGTAAAGCGATGGCATAGAAGCAGCAAACGTTAAAGAAGGATGTGATGATGATTGATCCCGCACTTTTTCTAGCATCCCTCCAAATGGAGAAGTGTTCGGGTGGAAAAGGGTCAAGCGCCACTCCAAGTGTGGAGTGGAGACGCCTCCGGTGTGGTTTGTCATGTTCAGAGTTGGGGACAAGGCATCCTTGAGAAGGTCGGACACCCTACAAGGCATTCAGGGCTCATAACCCGCAGTTAATGTAACCCACCGTTGCTGGCTTTCCCATTGCCGCAACTGCCTCAACTGCAGCTGAAACCAGCTCGGAGGAGCCTGCAGGAGGGCAGCACGGCAGCACACCCAAGTCACAGCCGGCTGTGAACATATCCTGATTTCCATGGGTTTCCTGGTTTCCTGAACTCCCCATTGCCCAGAGGCTTTGATTGGTTCTCATGCATCGATCAAATATCTCCAGATTTCCATGATTCCATGGCATCTGGTCAGAATATTGGCTTCTTTTTGCCATCCTCCAACCTCTCGTTGCAAGCCCATTCCGCCACTGCACCTCAGCCACTGGAACAGTTTCCTGCAGCACCCGTCGGAGGCCGCCCTTCTCGAAGTGCTGCGCCGCATCTTCCAGCTGATCCAGGCAATCGTCCTGAGAGGACAGCCCTCAGGTGGAACCCCCGGTGCAGGGTAGAAAAAGGGGTAGATCTCAGGGACTGTTCCTGGATGTTCCTGGTATGTTTTCTTTGTTGATTTTCTGGAAGGCTTGTCGGACAATTGGACCATCTCGTCACTCCATCACCCCGAAGCCGGCCTTCGTCTCCCTGAAAGACCGTGGGCTCATGGAGTAGGAATCCAAGAAGAAAGGGCCTCCCAAGTCCATCCAGTCCATCCAATCGAATAATTTATATGGTGCGTGATGGTGCGTGACAAGATGCATTTGCTTTGCAAATGTGGTTGGAGCTGTGGCGAACGCTTTCATCCTTGCAACCTATTCCACATTATATATGTCCAAAATCCTCCGAACATCTTCCCTAAATCGGAAGCGAGCCACCAAGCAGCACCTTCCAGGTCTGCAGTGTGTAGGAAGTGGTCCACATGGAAAGGGTTCAGATTCACAAAGGACTCGTACACTCCCAGGCACATCTCCTGAATTGAGGAGTCTCCATCAGCGTGGCCATCAGTGATGGGTCAAGGCAGCCTAGTTTTGGAACATCCCCTCATCAAGGTCATGATAATCAAAACAGACCTGAACCTTCCACCGCATCAGCAGCAATGAACCCACGGCCTGGGATACGCAGATCACAGTGTGTGCGACCCCGCCGCTGAACATGTAGACCTGATTCCGCACTATCACGCCACATCACTGATAACTATACCCAACGAACAGCCTGAGACTAGCCTCTGCCCATCCATCCTCTGTATCAAATAATCCTAAGAGACTCTGTGATTTTTTAAGTAAAAATGAACAGCCATTTCTGATCCCCATTGGTACACCCCTGGCTCGATGGATTTGGGCCAACCAAAAAATCTGACCTCAGCAAGCTCAGGCGCCCGCATCCCCTGGCCGCAACAAGACCACCTTTGCAGCTTTGTGCAAGGCCTCCCGGTGCAAATCCAGGTGTCGGTGTCAGGTTCCTAGCTGTTGGATTTGTTCTTTTTTTCCTGGGCTGGTTCCACTCAAAGGGAGAAAATTCAATTTGTCGGGTAGAGGCCTCTAGCTCTCTTGGACGCAAAGGTGGTGCAAAGAGCCTCAGCGGCCACCGGTTCTGATGCGATAGTGACCACTGACCGTCCGGCTGTTTGGGATTGAATGGGGTGGAACTTCCACCAGTTTCAATGCTGCAGGATGTTTCCTCCACCAATTGAACACTCGTTGCTTTTTTTTGTCATCACTGGCAGTAGCCGATCTCTCCAACATTTCTCAGGACCGCATGGTCACTGCCGTCCCAACCCTTCGCAAAGGATCCGGCACGTCGTAGAACTCCATGGCCACCTGCTGGGAAGTGAGTAATGGGAAAAAACGTATTTCGCAGTTGGCCACGCGCTTCTCCCACGAACGCTAGAAACGCTCCAGAACAAGTCCCAGCCATACCAAACTTTAACATGTGGAAAATGAAAAAAAAAAGAGGGGGAGACCTGCAAATAATGCGGAAAACCAAATGCAATCACACATCATCAAGCCAAATTCACACATAGCGGTCAGTATTTTTAGGACAGAAATCTGTTCCATACCTAACATAGCCATCATTTATAGTTCGTTGATTTACCATTGATTTACCTATTGGATTGATGGTGATTTTCCATGGTTTTTGGTATGTTTCTCAGGCCGGGTATCCCCCATTGGCATCGTTTTTCGCCACCTCCTTGCTGACTTGGCCCCGAGGCCAGGCGGCCAGCAACTTGTAGCCCTGGTAGTTGCGGCCCACGTTGCTCCACAAGACCTGACCATCCCTGGATCTGGGACGTTCCAACCAGAAGTCCACCAAGGTTCTTGTGATTCATATTTTGAGTTATATGGGGATGGGTACAAGGTTTTGATGAACATCCATTTACCAGCTATTTTGATGTTCACCAGGGGTACAAGGTTTTGACACACTGCCATATAAAGATTGTTGGGGTATAGCCGGTATAGCCGCTATCGTTCTTGGAAGGCACTCATTCTTGGGGCATTCTGAAGGGGTAGTTGCTGAAGATCGTGGTAGCTCGCAATTTTAATCAACAGATCGCCGATAGAAATAGAAACCCCGCTTTGATTGATGAATTAGAGAGGCTGAATATATGGGCTGAGCATTTCCTGTGGCCTACAACCTTCAGTGGGGCTGCCCAAGATCAACTCATACCCACATCTCCATCGACCAATCCTGCACCACCCATCATCAACACCAGCACCTGATCGACGTGAAGGCCCTTGCCACTGCACCGGCCACCCGCGAAGAAGCCTTCGTCATAGCCTCATGCAATCTGTCGGCGATCAAACCAGTGCTGGTTTGATATTTCGAAGATGTTTGACTCCTCCTGGAGGAAGTTAGTGGAAGTATATCCCAAGTACAGATTTAAGTATGTAGACTATGTAGACATGTGCCGTATGGCAAATAAGTAGCTCAATTTCGAACAATGACATGAATCCAGTGACTTCATTATCTTCATTCCATCCCAAAAGAATAACACCCCCCCCAAAAAAAAGAACATGTAATAAACCACCATCCTGGGGGATCGCAAATGCACCAGGGATTTTTTGCTGTTTGCGTCCAGGGTGCGATCCCAGTAGAGCCTCAGCTGGCTGCGACTTCCATCCATTTATGTTAGCATTATATTATATTATATTTTAAATTATATTATATTATATTATACTATATTATATTATATTATATTATATTATATTATATATATATATTCTATTTATTTATCTATTTATTCATTTTATTTATTCATTTTATTTATTTATTTATTTATTTATTCATTTTATTTATTTATTTATTTATATTTCTGGATGGTGGATCCCTCAGGACTCCGCAGGATATACTCATTAGTAGTTTCTTGGATCCTCATGGTGGAGGTTGGGATTCCCTCGGATGGAACTATGTAAACAGTATTGTGATGTATATAACTCTACATTTACATCATTTACTATGTAATATACATATATTGAAGTACGTGTGAAAATTAGACATCCACCAGCCACAATTCGGACAAAATGTTCGTTCGTCGTGCCTTGGCCCCCAAGCGTCCACTGGCCCAAAGGGCCCAGCACATCCTGGCTGCACCAGTTTGGGACAAAAAATGTCGGTTGCGGAATGGAAGATCTTTGGAAGATCATTGACGATCCGAAGATCCTTTTTGGATCTTTTTGGATCTTTTTGGATCTTTTTGGCTCCATCTGAGAGGCTTCAACTTTTCTGTGGTTCTTTTTGACCATTGAGATCATGCGTGTCCCAGCGCCTTCATGTCCCGTCGGCAAATGGTCTTGACGTTCTCCCCACCGATGGGATGAGGTGTTTCCTTCTGCAACCTCAGGATCCAATCCACACCATCCCAAGGATCCAGGCTGATTGCCTACCCGGCCTACCATCTCAAGGGACACTGCTGGTGGTTCCTATCCATGCCATCCTCCACCGCCCTGGCCTCATCTCCGCCACATAGAGGAGGGCTGGATTCGCCTCCCCTGCCTCCATGTGGCACGGATGGCACGGGTCATTCCATAATTGGAAACGTATTGGAATAGATTTTCCGATGTAAATGTTTTGTTTTCCATGACCATCCCACAATTTCACAACGGAGTTTTGGGATTGAAAATATGGAGCTGAATGACTTTGAGGCAGGATTTTCCCATGAATCTTAGACAAATTCCTGGACAATGTCCATGGCGTCACTCAGCCTCCGCCATGCGCAGGGCTTCGCGGATGCGTTTGCTCAGGTTCAACTTGTCCTTGCGGAGAATGTCCCGCTGCTGGCCTCAGGAAGCCATGCCGCAATGCCCATGACGGTTTCATACGGTTTCCACGTGTCCACCCCCTTGGGAATTGATGAATTCCTGAAATCACTTAGGCCAAAACGAGGTTGGATTCCTTGCCAACCCTTTTGAGTGAGTAGATGTGCATCATATAATGGGTTTCAAAAGATCCATGTGAAAGGTCATGCTGTTACAAACCGAAACCAAAACAAGCGTCCGACAATCACACAATGAGGGCCCGCACGATTGGGGTCGATGTATTCCACATCAGCCCGATACTTCTCCAACATCTGCAGGCGACTCCATCCCAGCTGGTGTTCCTATTGTAACCGTTCAATGCCGTTAAAATGATGATAAACCCATCAAATTTCGTTCGTTCCCACACATGTGTTCAGGTACCGAACCCACATTGCACTGATGGCCACATCCCCCCAACACATATCATGGACCTCGGGACGCTGCAAGACCCTGGCGATGAAGTCGTGAGCGCTGCGACCTTGGGATATGGGACGGACAGCACATGGTGCCACCTGTTGGGCCTTGGATGGTTTGATTCTTCAATAGTTACAAAAAATGTCGGATTGGTGTTTTCAACCCTGGTTGGATGCCTTTATTTCAAGCAAAATTGATGGATTAGTGGATTTTATCTCAACTCACTCGTTTTTTAGGGCCAAACCCAGAACACGGTGCACAATCTGATGCAAACCATGACCTGCGAGCCGCTTAGGAGCGTGCAATTGTGCAAGCACTGGCGGACATCTTCAGGAATGGAATCCTGGCAAAACGAACCCGCAACCACCGCCATGTGGCAAGTTCATGGGCACAATCCACCTTACTGTTGCAACATGCTACAACCTGCTACAACATCTGCTTAAGCACGACTACACTTGGAATGCAATAGTCGGATTCCACTTCGAACATCTTCAAACCTCGTTTCTTAAAATACTCAGGCCACTCACAGCCCATATCACGCCAATTTTTTCCAAAGGATAGGATCAAGTCGGTGCTTCCCAACTCGTTTCTTCGTATCCTGGAAGCTCAGATCCAGCAACTCGGTGCCACGCGGCAGCACCACGAAGTCCTGGGCTATGTCAACCAAAAAAACACGGGAGTTTGAACGAACCGAGACAAATGAGAATAACCGTTGAATAACCCACAGTGATGTTATGAATGTTTATCAACACCAAGTTGAGGGAATGAGGACGTAATTTGATGTAACCAAATTCTGCAAATTTGATATAATCGATAACCATTCCCCATTGGTTTGTCAGCTCAAAAGAGAATCGGCACGCTACAGCGCTCAATCACGGCCCTTGGCCCCAAGGGCCCTTGGCCCTTGGCCAACAAGGCCCTTCACGAAGTCCTCCACGTGATCACCCAGCAGTAGTTCTTTCACAAACTCACCCGCTGTATTCAGGACACGCGGCTGCCGCCTGGGATCCTGTCAGGGTCCCATGTGACCAATGTTGATTATTCTATCAGATTCTATCACCCATAGTTCAAACAGGATATTGTTCGTACAATTGAGCATCTTGTTTACACGTGGGATTTTTTGAACCAGTTGCCATCTCTTGTTCAAAAGTTGTTCTTGTGAAATGTGCCACTCCTGGAGGAGTTCCACAGGCCAAACACCTGGCAGGTGAACGGATTGCAATATCACTCAGCAACCATAAATTGTTTTATTTCAACAAACAAACATTGGAAATCTATAGTTGTTTTTCAAAAATGTGGAAAAAATGCCAACTATGGCTCTCCCAACCGGCTGCTGGCCATCGTTGTCAAAAAACAATTTATATGTTATGGGCCATGGGTCAAAAATGAACAGTTTCCGGATGTTTTTTTACCATTATCGGACATCATAACTGCCGGATGCTTATGATATTTGATGAAGTTTGCATGGACTACTACAAAAAATGTAATTAAATATATTGAGACGACTTGTATTCCATGATACACCATGAGGGTTGTGAGACATGCTTGCGGCCAGAACATGACTTGGGCCATGTTGGTCCAGCCATCAAAGCGACGTGCTTATAACGCACGACAATCACAGCCCATCCTGATTGTCGGAACCCTGCTTGATTTCTTGTGTAAAGCATGTTGCAAACAAAAAACGGTCCTTCGACGCATGCCGCGCCTTGCACCATAGCCACTTCATCGCGTGAGTAGTAAGATCTTCCTGCACTAGCCAGGGGGAACACGGATGGCACGGGGACCCATGGATGATCATGGACGCCAAGTAGGCTCGAACAGCCCCAATGACGTCCTGTGCTGGACATGGGTGGAAAGCAACCAACCCATGAGCATGGCGAAGCTACCAGGTCCAAGGCTGAAGTTTCAATGTTTGCAAGGGTTTGCTGGTTTGATTTGATAAGTTGCATGTTTTTTGCTTTTGTGGGGGTTTGTCACTCATTGTGTCATTTGGACAACCTCCATATCAGAGAAAAAATATCCCTTCACGGAACCATGTACTTCTGGGAGCCTTTTGTAACAGAACATCTGTCCGTGTGACGATATACATTCACCTGTTGTGCTTTCGCGGCACTCTTCCCAACCTCACTTTCGCTTCGCAGGCTGCTGGTACCCGTTAATGCTTTGATTGGTTCAAACGTGGCTGATGTGGCTGATGTGCTCTCTTTTTGGGCGCAAGGAACGTTGCCATCCCACATTCCTCCTGTCATCTGCCTAAGGCTTGAGAGCGTTGTGCCAAAAAGTGCGCGATGGCGCGCAGAGCCTTGACCTGGGTGCTGCATCTCATTTTGGCGATACATGACATATCCGATCAGCAATGCGTCTGATTTCACGACTTCCGCAAGCCTTTCCGACAAACTTGCCACGGTGTCTGCCACGCATGGCGTAGCAGACACCAAACTCAAAAACAAAATTGTAAAAAGCGCACGAACACAATGCCGCCTGTTTTGTTCAATGCCGCCTTGGAATCAAAAATGCGCAAGTGGAAACTGAAGCTGCAGCATCATGGAGTCGATATCGGTGCATATGAACGTCTTACCAACATCCGTTGTGCTGACGACTTGTTGATATATGCCCTTTCCTGCAATGATCTGGTGCACACGGTTGACGAACTCACCACTGAACTTGAAGATATTGGTTTACAATTCAAAGCAGGCAAAACCAAAATTTACCCCACCCTCGACCTGAGAGGTAGGCGGTGCTTTAATAGAAGCTTTGCAAGGCACAGCAACACATAAGTACTTGGGCAAGTTGATCGTTGGCAATTTGAAAAGAAATCGGAAACCGAACTCGCACATTGTTTGCAGATCGCTTGGGCGAAATTTCACAAAAACAAACATGTCCTGACCAACCGTCATGTTTCCGAAAAGTTGCGACTGAAATATTTCGATGCTATGATTTCTCCAGTTGTGTTGTTTGGTTTCGCCTCCTTACCCTTGATCACATCGCAGGTTCAAAGGGTGAATGTTGTGCAACGCTGGGTGCTTCGTGCAGTTGTTGGTTGGGTAGCCGTGGATGGCAACGATTGGGGGGGCACCATGCGCAGAATGAATGATAAAGTGAAAAATGTTTCAATTACTTTTCTTCTTGGCAAATGGTTTGACGCCTTATTCAAATGCCAGTTTCGTTTTGCCACACGTATAGGTTCCAACATGTTCGTGACTCTGTGACCTGGTTTCCCTGTAGTTTGCTGGTTTGTCCCGTGTCCTGAATGGTAAGGAAAGAAAACACGAACACAAGAATGGCTGAGGAGCCCCCGCATCACTCCCAGAGGTTGTTTTTTCACCACCCGATCACGTCGAATTCATTCTCTCAAACAATTTTGGGCTTATTCATGTCTGTACAAATGTCAACAACATTTGCAGCAGTGGGATTTTGAGATGATTTGAATCGCAGTTTCGCACCATGTTGGTTTTCCTAGCCTTGCAGCTTTGAACTGGGAAGCAGGAACCTGGAAAGAATGTTCGATAACAAAATATCACCGGCGTCTTTTTTTTTCGCCTCAATGATTCCTTTGACCCTTTTGGAACTAAGGCTATGGTTAGGGTTTCAGGTGATTGACAGCACATGGTCTGTGTCGCGACGAGTATTTTGTGAACATATGTGAACATCTAAATGCACACAAAGGTTAACAATACTTTGAAATCTCATTCTTCGACACGCTGGGTGGAGCTGAAGCCCTGTTAGGTATAAAAAAAAGACACGCAATGGTTCTTGTGCGCACTTGTGCCCTATTCAAATTTGTTTCCCTTCATTTGAAGTGAAAAACGGACATGTATTAACAGCAATACTGAAATGAAATCCGCCAATGTTAGCGCAACAAACAATTCGTCTGGTGCCAGCGGGGTGTTGGGTCCCGAAAAAAAAATGTACTGTTCTACACAAAAAAAAAATGTGCACAAAATTGAACCAATTAAGACAATCCAAGCCACAGACGTGGGTTTCAGTCAGCGCTTGTTTCTCTCTGGCGTGTGACATAAAGCTCTTGAAAGCAATGGGGAAAATCTTCGGCCCAAAAAAAATGTCTAAAACAACAGTTCATAGAAGGTTTTTAATTTCAATTATAACAGTCTAAGCACTGATTTTTAATATTGTTGATTGCTTCATTCTTTCAACAATATCAAAACTATAATGAAAATCATAACAGTCAAAGTATAGTTACCTCATCCATTTTTCAAAATCACAACAGTTCAAAGAATAATCCGCCGACCCCTGCCGTCAGCAGGGGGAGCGCGTCAGAGGAGGCCTTACTAGCAACAAGATGCCAGAAGGGGCGAAGAGTTTGTGCAGAACGAAAGCCGGCTCCAGGAGGACACGAGCAGGGTAGCAGTTGGCAATGCAGAAACGCAGGAAAAGTCAAGGTTTGGAGCTAGTTTCTAGGCAGTTCAGAAAGCAACGTTAGGCACTCACGGCCGTGGCCCGCAGGCCCGATCCGTCCTTCACTGCCATATGGTGTTTGAGGCCTGCGACAGGGTCCTTGGACGTTTGGCAGTATGGGCTGCCGGCCGCGGGCCCGATCCGTCCTTCACTGCCATGGTGTTTGAGGCCTGCGACAGGGTCCTTGGACTCGAGCTGACGGCAGGAAACAGCAAGGTTTGAAGCTAGTTTCTAGGCAGTTCAGAAAGCAACGTTGGACGGCCGTGGCCCGCAGGCCCGATCCGTCCTTCACTGCCATGGTGTTTGAGGCCTGCGACAGGGTCCTTGGACTCGAGCTGACGGCAGGAAACAGCAAAGTTTGAAGCTAGTTTCTAGGCAGTTCAGAAAGCAACGTTAGGCACTCACGGCCGTGGCCCGCAGGCCCGATCCGTCCTTCACTGCCATGGTGTTTGAGGCCTGCGACAGGGTCCTTGGACTCGAGCTGACGGCAGGAAACAGCAAGGTTTGAAGCTAGTTTCTAGGCAGTTCAGAAAGCAACGTTAGGCACTCACGGCCGTGGCCCGCAGGCCCGATCCGTCCTTCACTGCCATGGTGTTTGAGGCCTGCGACAGGGTCCTTGGACTCGAGCTGACGGCAGGAAACAGCAAGGTTTGAAGCTAGTTTCTAGGCAGTTAGAAAGCGTTAGTTCAGAAAGGCACGTTCAGAAAGCAACTTTGCCAGTATGGGCTGCCGGGCAGGCCCGATCCGTCCTTCACTGCCATGGTGTTTGAGGCCTGCGACAGGGTCCTTGGACTCGAGCTGACGGCAGGAAACAGCAAGGTTTGAAGCTAGTTTCTAGGCAGTTCAGAAAGCAACGTTAGGCACTCACGGCCGTGGCCCGCAGGCCCGATCCGTCCTTCACTGCCATGGTGTTTGAGGCCTGCGACAGGGTCCTTGGACTCGAGCTGACGGCAGGAAACAGCAAAGTTTGAAGCTAGTTTCTAGGCAGTTCAGAAAGCAACGTTAGGCACTCACGGCCGTGGCCCGCAGGCCGATCGTCCTTCACTGCCATGGTGTTTGAGGCCTGCGACAGGGTCCTTGGACTCGAGCTGACGGCAGGAAACAGCAAAGTTTGAAGCTAGTTTCTAGGCAGTTCAAAAAGCAACGTTAGGCACTCACGGCCGTGGCCCGCAGGCCCGATCCGTCCTTCACTGCCATGGTGTTTGAGGCCTGCGACAGGGTCCTTGGACTCGAGCTGACGGCAGGAACCAGCAAGGTTTGAAGCTAGTTTCTAGGCAGTTCAGAAAGCAACGTTAGGCACTCACGGCCGTGGCCCGCAGGCCCGATCCGTCCTTCACTGCCATGGTGTTTGAGGCCTGCGACAGGGTCCTTGGACTCGAGCTGACGGCAGGAAACAGACGCCTGCGACAGGGTCCTTGGACTCGAGCTGACGGCAGGAAACAGCAAGGTTTGAAGCTATAGTTTCTAGGCAGTTCAGAAAGCATTGCTTGGCAGTATGGGCTGCCGGCCGCGGGCCCGATCCGTCCTTCACTGCCATGGTGTTTGAGGCCTGCGACAGGGTCCTTGGACTCGAGCTGACGGCAGGAAACAGCAAGGTTTGAAGCTATAGTTTCTAGGCAGTTCAGAAAGCAACGTTTGGCTGTATGGGCTGCCGGCCGCGGGCCCGATCCGTCCTTCACTGCCATGGTGTTTGAGGCCTGCAACAGGGTCCTTGGACTCGAGCTGACAGCAAGACACAGCAAGGTTTGAAGCTATAGTTTCTAGGCAGTTCAGAAAGCAACGTTTGGCAGTATGGGCTGCCGGCCGCGGGCCCGATCCGTCCTTCACTGCCATATGGTGTTTGAGGCCTGCGACAGGGTCCTTGGACCCGAGCTGACGCCAGGAAACAGCAAAGTTTGAAGCTAGTTTCTAGGCAGTTCAGAAAGCAACGTTTGGCAGTATGGGCTGCCGGCCGCGGGCCCGATCCGTCCTTCACTGCCATGGTGTTTGAGGCCTGCGACAGGGACGTTAGGCACTCACGGCCGTGGCCCGCAGGCCCGATCCGTCCTTCCCTGCGACAGGGTCCTTGGACTCGAGCTGACGGCAGGAAACAGCAAGGTTTGAAGCTAGTTTCGAGGCAGTTCAGAAAGCAACGTTAGGCACTCACGGCCGTGGCCCGCAGGCCCGATCCGTCCTTCACTGCCATGGTGTTTGAGGCCTGCGACAGGGTCCTTGGACTCGAGCTGACGGCAGGAAACAGCAAAGTTTTTTGAAGCTAGTTTCTAGGCAGTTCAGAAAGCAACGTTAGGCACTCACGGCCGTGGCCCGCAGGCACGATACGTCCTTCACTGCCATGGTGTTTGAGGCCTGCGACAGGGTCCTTGGACTCGAGCTGACGGCAGGAACAGCCAAGGTTGAAGCTAGGTTTCTAGGCAGTCAGACAGCAACGTTAGGCACTCACGGCCGTGGCGCAGGCCCGATCCGTCCTTCACTGCCATGTGTTTGAGG